CATACAGAGACCATCATGAAGACCTGAGGTTGTCTTCTGACCTCCACATACACATAACACTACCATAAATGCATTCACAAAACACACATGCAAAGATAAATGTAAACTAATAATAGACTGAAGAAACCACTCAAAGAAGTGATACTCTCAGCATTACTATGCATGAGGCCCAGCATCAGGAAAGGAAAGAAAAGAGGTATTGGGAATGGTGTACAGACTGGGAAACAAAGAATCAAATGACCTGGAATAAAACCCAAAAAAAGGAAATAAATAGAAATTAATGATAAGAGAATTCACTTATACCCTCCAAAGTGATGGGAAAACTTTCTTCTAAACAAACTATAATTGAACTTTAAACACACAACACACACACTCACACATACACAAATCTCTCCATTAGATCACGCTGATTTAACCAATGCTTAAGTTCTGCCAAACATTCAAGAACAAAATAATTACAATATTTAACCATTTCGGAGTTTTGAAATGGTACAACATGGTCAGATCTTACCAAAACCAGGCAAGGACCAGTAAGAAAGAAATAGTAGAGGCAGTAGGTAAAGGCACTTGCCTGATAACCTGAACGCTAAACATGAAACCCATGTAAAGGAGAAAATAGAGAAGCAAGTCAACACAGGTGACCTGTGACCTTAATGCCCACTGGCATGTACACACATTTTGTGTTTGGTTTTTTTAGGCAGGATTTCTCCGTGTAGCCCTCCCAACTGCTGGGATTAGAGGCATGTGCCACCACCACTGGCACAAGGAACACTTTCTAAAGAAAAAAACAGTATAAACTAGCTGGTTGCAGTGATTCACCTCTCTAATTCCACCGCTCAAGAAATGAGACTCAAAGGCAGGAGGACTAAACTGAGTTCCAAGCCAATCTGGGGGTTGCATACATGACCCTGTCTCAAAAATAACAAAAACCATCAAAAATATTATAACCTGGTCCCTTTCGTAAATTTAAAACCCCAAATAAGTATTGTTGAGTTAAACTAGGAAAAAAAAAAATTGCGGGGACTGGAGAGATGGCTCAGAGGTTAAGAGTACTGGCAGCTCTTCCAGAGGTTCTGAGTTCAATTCCCAGCAACCACATAGTGGCTCACAACCATCTGTAATGAGGTTTGGTGCCCTCTTCTGGGGTGTAGGCACATATGCCAGAACACTGTATACATAATAAATAAATATTAAAAACAAAAAACCGGGCTGGAGAGATGGCTCAGAAGTTAAGAGCACTGACTGCTCTTCCAGAGGTCCTGAGTTCAATTCCCAGCAACCATATGGTGGCTCACAACCATCCG